GAGGGTACTACGCTACTTGTGCAGTACATCGGGCATGGGGCTCGTGCTTGGAGGACGGGGCGGAGTTGTCCTCACTGGTCAGTCAGACGCTTCTTGGGTTGACGACCTGGCTACGCAGCGGTCATCACAGGGTTACACCTTCAGCCTTGGCTCTGGCTCTGTTTCTTGGCAGTCTACACGCTCTTCCTCTGTTCTCAGCTCCAGTTGTGAGGCTGAAATCTACGTTACAGCCATGGCTGCTTAGGAGTTACGCTGGCTTACCTACCTGCTGACCGACTTGGGAGAGCGGCCTCGTTCTCCTCCAGTTCTGTACGTAGACAACAAGGCCGCCATTGCCTTGTGTCAGGAGCACAGACTGGAGCACAAAACAAAGCACATCGCTCTGCGTTACTTCCTTGCTCGAGAGCTGAAGCAGCGTGGTCAGCTACGTCTTGCTTACGTGGCCACTCGGGCCAACACTGCTGAAATATTCACCAAGGCACTTCCGTCTAGTGAGCATCAGCTCTTTTGTACCTTGTTGGGCCTTGTGCCTACGTTTCCTCACTTGCTGTAGGCTTTGTTTGTACTGTGATCTATATATATATATGTATATATTTATATATATATATACATACATACATACACATGCATGCTTGTTCTTTCTCGGTAGAGATCACTATGCTGTTGTTGTTGCATATATACCTCTGCATGTGAACAGACCTTGTGGCCCTTTGCTTGTGCTCAGTGTGTGAGGTGACGTTGTGATCCACCCTGAGCTTGCTTTGCCTCTCTTGACTGGTCTTGTGACCCCTTGCTCTCCCCCACTTTGCCTATGGGGTTGTGTCAAATGATATATATGCTATATATGTCTAGGCTGTAGTGGGGTAGCTAACATGGGGTATAGCCCAATTAGGGTTTCATATTTGTACTCAACTCTGTTCTAGTCCATTCATTCCTGCCTAGACTTCTGACAGCGACACACTGAGGTGGCTGTGGGGGGCCTCACTGCTGCGGTGAGGTAGGAGGGCGTACCTGGTCGCGGGGCTTCTAGACTCACCTGTGGGGGAGAGAGGGTGGGGTGTGGAAGAAAGAGGTGTGTGTCCGAAGGGTAAGTACAGGGCTTCTAGACTCGACTATGGATGGCGCTTCGGGTATGGAAGGGGTGAGCACAAGGCGGCCTCACCCACCCCAGGTCTTACCGTCTATACTTCTTTACCCGCCCTTACCAACCCCACGACTTGCCTCCTCTAGCAGCTCTGTAAGAAAACTTCTTGAACGTTCGCTTGCTCGCTCTGTCATTGCCACGTATAAACCAGACTCTCATCCACTTCCTACACGTGAAAGAAGATTGGCTTTGACACGTCTCAGAACCAATCTTATTTCATCTGTCAAAATCACGTACAAACCAAACTCTCATGCACTTCCCACACGACAAATGTGTTATTTTGAGAATACTAAAAAAAACCCTTGAGAATTCTCACAAAAACCCTACCAACCTAAGTCTCATCCACTTCCTATCCGACCCATGTGTTATCCCCTTCCTTCCCGCTCCCCTCCCTCCCTCTATCCTACCCACTCCATGCCCTACCTCCTCCAGCTGCCCTAGCATCTCCACTTGCAATTGCACTGCTTCCCATTGATGGTAAGCGGTTTCTCTTTTTTCGGCGCCCAACTGCACTATCTTTTTCGCCTGACCTGCCATTGCCATTGCCACTGCCACTGCCACTGGTGCTTCTCCATTTAACCAACATTTCATCACCATCCCTCCACACCATCCCTGCACCATTTCGCAGGTGTGGCTCGGGTGTTCTTGGGGGGTGAATCTGTGACTGGACAAAAACGGAGGAGAGCTCCTGGGATCTCCTCATGCCAGAGATTTTTGCTGCCCTGATGGACTTTTTTGCTTCCGGGCAGCCGGTGCTGAACCCCCAGGCAGAGGCAGCAGCAGCTAGTGGGGAGCAACAACCGGCAGAGGTGGGGTGGGGGGAGTGATAGGAGTAGAGAAGGTGAGGTGAGACAGAGGTGGGGTAGGAAATTGCAGGAGTAGAGAGGTGAGTTGGATAGGTGCGGTGCTGAACCCCCAGGCAAAGGTAGCAGCAGCTGCAGAGGTGGGGTGGGGATCAACAACCCGCAGAGGTGGGGTGGGGAGCAACAAACCGCAGAGGTGGGGTGGGGAGCAATAACCCACAGAGGTGGGGTGGGGTGAGTGATGAAGTGGGGAGAGGGGTTGGGGAATGAGGGGCAGGGATGGGGTGGAGGAATGAAGGGCAAAGGTGGGGTGGGGGGAATGGCTTATCAGTACAGGCGCAGTGGGGGAAAGTGGTGAGATGAGGTGAGGTGCGGTGGCAATGGGTAGGAGTAGAGGTGGGGTGGTGTGCATCAACCTGAAAAGGAGCTGAAATTTGTTCTTTCTTTACTCGGCTCCTCCCCCCTTGTCTTTCTTCAGATCAAGAGTGAGATGGTGCTGATGATGATACAGTAGTCGTGGGCTGAACTCACACCTCCCCCTGCTGTTTCCCCTGCCCCCGTTGACCACCCCTCTCAGGAGGAGAGTGAGACGGTGTTGATGATACGCGAGTTGCTGGAGACTCGCTTTCAACCCGCTCCCAGCCAATCTCCCCGTGTCTTCTCCCCGCTTCGCCAACCCCTCCCAAACGCTGCTTCCCCTTCAGGAGGAGAGTGAGACGGTGCTAATGATAAGGGAGCTGCTGGAGAATGCTTCGTAGCTTCTCTCCTCTGGTTGCCCTTTCTTTTCCCATTTGAATGTGCGCATTTTCCCTCCCGCCTTTGCCACCCCTCTCTAGATGAGAGTGAGACTGTGCTGATGATAAGGGAGCTGCTGGAGACGCGCATTCGACCGGCAGTGCAGGAGGACGGAGGGGACATTGACTTTGTTGACTTTGACGAGTGAGTCTGACTTGGTTGACTTTGACCAGTGGGTCTGACTTTGTTGACTTTGACGAGTGAGTCTGACTTGGTTGACTTTGACTAGTGGGTCTGACTTGGTTGACTTTGACGAGTGAGTCTGACTTGGATTCACATTGTTGACTTTTGAGATGTCTTAAAAGGTCGACCGGCATTGCAGGAGGACAGAGGGGACAATGACTTTGTTGACTTTGACGAGTGAGCGCTTCACGTCACCCGCTTGCCATGTCAAACACTTGCCACGTCACCCTCTTGCCACATCATCACCTTGCCACGTCACCCTCTTGCTGTGCCTGCCCAGGCCTTTTTCTTATGCCTCACCAAGCATGATCGCACGCCCGTGTCACCTTGCGTACCATCCACGCCACGGGAATCGTGCATCTGTGCATGAAAGGCGCTTGCAGGGGCTGTTCAAGCCATGGCACCCTTCTTAATCCAGCTCTGATTGTTGTGCCCTCCCTCTCCTCACTGCCATCCATTCCTGCAGGGCCACGGGAATCGTGTACCTGCGCATGAAAGGGCGCCTGCAGTGGCTTCCCCTGCCCTGTGCGTCGCCCTTCATATAACCCCTCACATCCTGTTGTGTGTTACGCTCTCCCCTCCCCTCACTGCCACGGACCCACCAGGGCCACGGAAATCGTGTATCTGCGCATGAAGGGTGCCTGCAGTGGCTGCCCGAGCCTTGTGTGCGGTTTCATTTAAGCCTGTGTGGTTTGCTCTCCCCACCCCCCACTTGCTTGCCAACCATCCACCCCCCAGGGCCACGGGAATCGTGTATCTGCGCATGACAGGCGCCTGCAGTGGCTGCCCGAGCTCCTCTGTGATTCTAAAGAGCGGCGTGGAGAGCATGCTCACACATTACATTCCAGAGGTGAGCTTTGTGGATGTGATTGTAGCGAATAATGGTGGACCATGTTTTTCCCCATCTGTAACAATAAATAGTGGAGTGGAGAACGGATGTGATAACAGTGAATGAAATGAAGGCATACCATTTCTCATCCTCTCCCCATTTGTGACTCTAGAGAGCGGGTTGGGAATGATACTCATGGACTGTGCTTCAGAGTCGAATGTGGGGTTGAACAGGGGCATAATTGTAATGAATGCTGAGTGTTTGTCGTGTATAATAACGTTCATGCATTACACTTTGCCTGCTTCTCTCACATCAGCTCACTGCCTGGTCCGCCCATCTCTGCTCTTGTTTGCCCTGACCTGCACGTGTCTGCCCTTGTCTCTGCCCGTGTCTGCCCGTGTCTGCCTGTATGTCCGGATGCAGGTTAATTCGGTGAAGGAGGTCATTGAAGAGGCAGAGTGACTGTAGCCGGTGCCTGTACTCGTTATTAGACGTTTTAGAACAAACTTAGTTATGACGAGCATAGGCTAGAGGAAGAAAGAAGTCGGTCGTCGCTCTTGACCTTTTTGTAACATTGCCGTCACCGTTGCCTGCGGAGCTAGGACTTTCCCATCAAGGGAAAATCAGCCATCTCCAACGAACACGTACCCACCCAACCAACAATTGCTGAACTTCACGCGAATAACGTGACAATGGAGCAGCAGCAACAACCGGCTGGTTTGAAAATATCAGGACAAAATTGGAGCTGGCCGATAAAGCCAGTGCTAAGCTATTTAGGTATGGGACATTTTGTTGCCTCGTCTCTACTGTAGTAGCCTTGTTGGTAAAGAAATCTGAAACATTGGAATTGAACCACAAATTGCACTACATGACAGCCCACCACCACATGCAATACATCATCAACCCTGAGATGCGAAGAAAGCACAAGCAAAGCAGAAACGTCAATTTTCTTTCCTAACCCCTTCTACGTATCCTTGCAGCCCATCTCTTGCCTTCTATTTCCTACCCACCACGCCTCCCTCACAAAGGTGTTTTCAAAGAGAAACAAGCACACAGACACACACACGCAGGAACCACTGCCACAAGCTCGCCACATCACAAGCAACGGGCCTTCTAGAGCCCCCCCTTCCCCATGCATTAGACCGGGTCATTCGGTTGCCATTCGCCGCATCTCCCTGTGTAGAAGGACCAAGCCACCCTGCCGCCCTGCAACCCTCCATTGCACGTCTGCTGGCTGCTTTTCGAATCAAATGCTGGGTGCAGCACTGCTGGCAGCACTGCTCGCAGCACTGCTGGCAGCGGTGGGCTTGGGGGCTGTGCCCGAGGTGCCCTTTGCTCCCAGCGCATGCGCGCCAGAGTTGAGCTTACCTCCCGCCTGATTCTTCGAAACCGCCTTCCCGCCAGCAGCGCCGGGAGCGGCGGCCGTCTTCAGGGCTGCTACGCCCGAGTTGCGCTTACGAGCTCCCGCGGGGCCAGTTTTCTTCCCGCCGCGGCGCCCAGCTTTCTTCCCTCCGCGGCGGTGGTGCTTCTTCTTGCCCTTCTTGGGCGGGACTCCGACCATGGAGCCGATCGAGTTGCGCACGTTCCTCCCCGCCTGCCCGACAGCTTTCTTCACGCTGCCGCTGAGGTCGTCCGACGTCTGCTTCAAGTCCGCCGCTGCATCCCCCATCGAGAGAAGCACCCGCGAATCCTCCAAGTCAACGGAGTCGAAGTCAACCGAGTCAACGGAGTCAATCACGGCATCACTGTCGGCCGCCTCGAGGAGCGCGCGCGGCTCGTTTGCAGCAGCGGGAGCAGCGGGGGACTCGGGTGCTGCGCCCGAGGTGTCCTTAGCTCCCGCCTCCTGCTTCTTAGGAGCCCCCGTCGCGCCAGCAGCGGCAGCAGCGGGCTTCTTGGGGGTTGCGCCGGAGTTGAGCTTACCTCCCGCCCCCTGCTTCTTCGGAACCCCCGCAGCGGACGTCTTGGGGGCTGCCGCGCCCGATTTGCGCTTACGAGCTCCCGCCAGCCCAGTTTTCTTTCCGCCGCGGCGCCCAGTTTTCTTCCCGCCGCGGCGCCCAGTTTTCTTCCCGCCGCGGCGGTGGTGCTTCTTCGTGCCCTTGTTGGGCGGGACTCCGACCATGGAGCCGATCGAGTTGCGCACGTTCCTCCCCGCCTGCCCGACAGCTTTCTTCACGCTGCCGCTGAGGTCGTCCGACGTCTGCTTCAAGTCCGCCGCTGCATCCCCCATCGAGAAAGCACCCGCGAGTCCTCCAAGTCAACCGAGTCAACGGAGTCAAGCGAGGCATCGCTTTCGGCCTCCAGGAGCGCGCGCTGGTCGTATGCTTCTTCCAGCGCCGGCTCACTCGCGCCGTAGTACCCATCCGGCGGAGGCTGCGCCGCGAAAACCGCGAGGAAGTTTAGAGACGCCACGAGGACGAGCGCGAGCAGAAAGCGATGACGAAGCGCGCCCATGATAGAGCTTCGATATGGCAGTCTTCTGAGATGGGAAAGAACCGCTGAGGGGGTTGGTACTGAATTTGTTTAGCTGCTGTTACTAGCGGTGAATGAGTTGTTTCCAACTTCCTCCGCGTTAAATACGCTAGCGTGAGTGCCGAGTGCAGACTTTGCTGGAATATTGCGGCTCGACATCAGAGGAGGCGTTTCAGCCCCATGATGCCTCTCGTAGCGCCTCGTTCGATTGCTGGACCTCATGGTACCGACGAATGCGGCGCTTATCGCTATCGCTGGGGAACTGGCCACCACGTTTGCTAATGCTCTGGTATTTGTGACGCACATCGAAATTATGAAACATGTGAAAGTGCTGGTTGGTTTCCTGGCGCGGTTGGGTTCTGTGAGAGGGGTATTGAAAACCAGCGGGTAAGTGAAGTTTTCCAGCGGTCAGGAGTGGTGCAAGGTTTTTGTTGTGGGGATCGAATGTAAGTGGGGCGATCATAATGTACAAGTAACGCGGGGTGTGCGGCCGAGCAATAATTGCACACCTAGTGCGAAAACCTTCGCACTCACCACACATTGTGGTCCGCGTTTGCGATTCATGCACATTTCAACTGTAATGTTTTCAGGATATATAATCATTGCTTTTTCTCTCCATAACCATTTGTTGTCAATTTACGCACAGAAAATGGATGTTAACATGTATTTGGGATGCTAGCATGTGTAAATATATATAAAAGAAAATGAACAAAATATATTGAGCCCGTTTGCTGTAGGCCCTTTATTGAAATCACTGAATCACTGAAGCTCGGTTGCTGGACTAGCTTTGCCATCTTCAGGTGCTGGAGTGACAACAAGCATGGCCGCAGCAGCAGTTCCTTCACGTGGAAGCTCTTTCAAGTAGAGACAGCTGTTAAAATCAGATCAAATCAAATCATTAACTGTTCTGTACACAGCGAATCAACACAACTGTTTTGAGACACCTCCAAATAAGAAATTAGACACAGCAAAGCAGCAGTGATTCACACAGATTCCCCAAACAGCACAACACGCTTATCAATATTCTAGCTGATCATAAATCACTACATGACAAACTTGAGGCAGCGGGTTTCGTTGTGCAGTCTTTGGCAGCTGATGCAGCAGAAGCGGGCGGCACAGCGGGGGCATGTGTAGGGCGCGTGGCTGCCACACGCAGAGCAGAAGCGGCGCACTGAGGCGGCTGTTGGAGGGCCCACTGCTGCTGTGAGGTAGGAGGGCGTGCCTGGTGGCAGGGTCTCTAGATTCGCCTGTGGGGAGTGAGGAGGGGGCATGGAAGCGAGGGAGAAGCATGGCAGGGGTGAGCACACAAACAATACACAGAGGCAGCAGCCGGGCTCCACTGCTGCTGTGAGGTAAGGAGGGCGTGCCTGGTGGCAGGGCTTCTAGACTCGCCGATGGGGAGAGAGGGTGGTGGGGTGTGGGAAGAAAGAGGTGTGTGTCCGAGGGGTAAGTACAGGGCTTCTAGACTCGACTATGGATGGCGCTTGGGGTATGGAAGGGGTGAGCACAAGCAGCCTCACCTGCCCCAGGTCTTACCCGCCCCAGGTCTTACCCACCATACTTCTTTACCCGCCCTTACCAACCCCACGACTTGCCTCCTCTAGCAGCTCTGCAAGAAAACGTCTTGAACGTTCGCTTGCTCGCTCTGACATTGCCACGTATAAACCCTACTCTCATCCACTTCCTACCCGTGAAATAAGATTGGCTTTGAGACGTCTCAGAACCCATCTTATTTCATCCGTCAATGTCACCTACCAGCCGAATTGTCATCCACTTCCCACCCGACCGATGCATAATTTTGGGAATTCTCAGAAAAACTTTGAATAATAACTTAAAAAAAAAAAAACAAAAAAGTACTCGGGGGAAAAAAAAAAATTACCAACCAAACTCTCATCCACTTCCTATCCAACCATGTGTTACCCCTTCCTTCCCCCTCCCCTCCCTCCCTCTATCCTACCCACCCCATGCCCTACCTCTTCTAGCAGCTCTGCAAACGTCTTGGGAGTTCGCTTGCTCGCTCTGCTCACCACGGCAGCAGCAGCCTGTCTCGTGCGCCTCTTGCCCGGACGGCTCACTCGCTTGGCTGGTGCGAAGCCTGGTGGGCACTCAAGAGTTGACTCAAGATTTGTCTCAAGAGTTGACTCAAGAGTTGACTCAAGAGTTGACTGAAGGGTCGACTCAAAAGTTGACTCCCAGAGAGCCTGCCTTGTGCACCTCTTGCCTCGGATGGCCAGAGTCAAACGTGGTGGGCAGTCAAAGGAAGACGGGAACGAAAGGGGAAGATAGCAAGGGCGAACGCATCAAACGGGGACGGAAGGAAACACACAAACGAGGAGCACAATAAGGAAGAAGAAAGCGACAGAATGTCGTTAAACTAGAGCGGGCGTCTAAATAATATGAATAACACGAAACACAAAAGTCAAATCGATTTACCTCACCGTAACCGGAGCTCTGGTTGTTGCTGATACCTTCCATCATACCAACTATTTAATCGGTAATATCTGGCAAGCACATCAGACAGAGGGTTGTCAGGTTGGCTTCCCGCAACATATCGTGATTCGTGCCCCTAGCAAGCATTCGTGCCCCTAGCAAGCATTCGTGCCCCTAGCAAGCATTCGTGCCCCTAGCAAGCATTCGTGCCCCTAGCAAGCATTCGTGCCCCTAGCAAGCATTCGTGCCCCTAGCAAGCATTCGTGCCCCTAGCAAGCATTCGTGCCCCTAGCAAGCATTCGTGCCCCTAGCAAGCATTCGTGCCCCTAGCAAGCATTCGTGCCCCTAGCAAGCATTCGTGCCCCTAGCAAGCATTCGTGCCCCTAGCAAGCATTCGTGCCCCTAGCAAGCATTCGTGCCCCTAGCAAGCATTCGTACCCCTAGCAAGCATTCGTGCCCCACAAACTATGCGTGCCTTTGTGCATTGTAGCGACCCGTAACACCTCCTGGCATGGAAGCGAGGGAGAAGCATGGTGGGGGTGAGTTGCCACTTGTACCCTAAGCTGTGCTTCCTCGTTATGAGACACGTCCCACACCCCCTTCTTTCCATGCACCGACTGAATCGACCATTCAGCACACCTCCTTTTTCCTCGCTATAAGCATGCCCTTATTGTCCATTACTCGCTATAAGCATACCTTCTTGCACCAGTTCCTCCTCTGCATTGAACACGTCATCATCCTCATCCACAGCAGCATCCACCCCGGTATAGTCACTCTCTAGAGCCTCCAGTCGCGCCGCTGCTGCCTGGGTGCATGCGAGAGGGCGGGGAACAGGTGAGAGAAAGGAAAGGTACACGTTGTACCAGTATCATCTCATCATCCTCATCCACCACAGCAGCATCCACCCCGGTATAATCACTCCAGAGCCTCTAATTGAGCTGCTGCTGCCTGGGTGGGTGGGTGGGTACACTGGAGACAGAGAGAAACTCAACAGGGAGGGATGCATGAAAAAAAAAAGAGGATGTATTCACTCTCAGGAGAATCTAATCGTGCTGCTGCCTCGGAGAAACGCAACAAGGAAGGCAAATGAGATGCCTGTTTGAGAGCGAAGTGAGCGAGAGAGAGAAATGTCAGAGAAAGCGAGTCTCGTCTCTCCGCTTCCCCTCTACTCCATTTGTTCCAGTCTCGCCCCTCACTCCCTGTACCATTTTTGACAAGTCTTATGAGCAATTTTGGAGCAATTTCATGATTCGCCTCCCTTGGTTTCACTTTAAACAGCACGCGCTCAGTCACTCGTTTCCGCAACACAGTCCCACGAATCACTCCCTCGCTCCTTGACCTTCTCAATCACTTAGCACATCAACCACTCACTCGTTTCCTTGCACCTTCATCCAGCATCGGAGCCACCACATCTGCCGCCACCTTGCGTTGCCAGTTTGAATAACAGCCATTTACTCATTTCCTGTCCCGTACAATCACACACACATCACTCACTCACTCGTTTCCGCGTGCCCTCATCCAGCATCACAGCCACCACATCTGCTGCCACTTTGCGTTGCCTCAGCGACCCTCTCCTCTCCGCCTCCCCTCCATTCCACTTATTCCATTCTCACTCATTTTCCCATGCCGCAGACCTAAAAACCACTCATTCTTTCCCCGTCCCTGGGTGTCATAAAAAACGAAAACCCTTACTCCCTCCCTCACTCCCTCCCTCACTCACTCCCTCACTCACTCACTCGCTTCCGCGTGCCTTCATCCAGCATCACAGCCACCACATCAGCCGCCACCTTGCGTTGCCTCAGCGACCCTCTCCTCTCCGCTGCTGCTGCCACTGCCGTCGCGCCTTTGGACCCGCCTTTGAATGAATCCATTGCGCCTGGCGGAGAGGGTGGAGGAAAGGGGACGGGGGGGGGGGAGAGGAGGGGGGGACGTGAGGAAAGTGGGGGGAAAGTGGGGGGAAAGTGGGGGGAAAGTGGGGGAAGGAGGGTGATGGGGGAAAGGGGACGGAGAAGCAGAGGAGGGAAGGGGAACAGGGAGGAGGGAAGGGGAACAGGGGGGAGGGAGAGGGAACAGGGAGGAGGGAAGAGTGAGCGAGCCTTGCATTGCCTCAGCGACCCTCTCCTCTCCGCCGCTGCTGCCACTGCTGCTGTTGCGCCTTTGGACCCGCCTCTAAATGAATCCATTGCGCCTGGCGGAGAGGGTGGAGGAAAGGGGAGGAGGGGGGGGAAGGGGGGTGGGGAGAGGATGGGGGGACGTGAGGAAAGTGGGGGGAAAGCGGGGGGAAGGAGGGTGATGGGGGAAAGGGGACGGAGAAGCAGAGGAGGGGAAGGGGGATGGCGGAGGGGGAGTGAGCCTCAGCGATCCCCTCCTCTCCTCTCCGCCGCTGCTGTGGCGCCTTTGGAGCCGCCTTTGAATGAACCCATTGCAACTGGTGCCTGCACAGAGAAGGAAAGGCAAGGAGAGGATAGGCGGACCTGGCACTGGAATAAGGACGACATGCAAGGCCAGTCAGCGATGGGGAGCGGTGAGGAACGGTGGGGAACGGCGCAGGGAGGGAAAAGCGCAAGGTGATTTTAGGTCGATGTGGAAGAAACGAACGGGTTAAGTAACGCATTGCCTTGGGCATTACAGGTAACGTACCGGCTTTTCGTAGTTCGATCGTTCCAGAGCGGCAGCAGTGCTAACCGCGAGTAGAGTGACAGTGTAGTGACAGTGACAGGGTTACAGGCGTTCCTTGAGTCAATAGCGAGGTGACTACGTAATTCGAAATCCGTACGGGAGGCGTAAAAACGTTGGCACACTACGGATTTTTGCGCTCAGAAGCATCTGTTCTTGAGCATTCGCGCATCGCAACGACGTCGCGTTGAGAAGGTGCCGAACGCGAAAAAGTCAGCACGTGATATTGCTGTGGAATAAGATGTGCCGAACTGTCAGCGCTGATGGTAACAACATCAGCGTGGGGTTTTAACAATCAGCATATGTTGTTGTGACAAGTAGCAGCGCTGATGGTACTTGGGGTCACAACAATATCATCATGTGCTGTGTTTGCTGCAGAGGCTGTGGTCAGCTGCCTGGGTTCGCTAAGTTGCATATGCTGTGGTGACGCACGCATGTGCAGCATAGGCTGCGGGCGACACCTGTTACCGGTTGACGAAATCAACATGTCTGCGCGCGAAACTGACGAATTCTGTGCAGATGGTCAGCATTGTTCGCTTCTTGACAGCTTCAAGGTTGGCTTGGGTTGAAGGTGGTACTGTAGATTAAATCTGCATTCCAATTGCGTTTTTGGAGGTGTGAGCGTGCATTCAAGGTTGGCGATCGTGCACTCACTCATTCACGAACATCGCAAGCCCAATGGTTGGGTTTCGCTGCGAAGGCTGACACCATTGCAAAAGTGTTGTGACTTTATTCGATGGTAGCATTTTCCACACAGATCATCATGAAAGGTCATATATCAAAAGAATTATTACAGCCCACCAAATAAAAAAATAATGAACAAATAGTATCAGCCCACCGGAAAAAGGGAAAATAAACAGCAACCAGTGGACTAAAAGCTAGCAAGAAAGAAAGAAGCCCACCACACTATACACACAACGGGATAACCAAACAAATGCCGGTGAAAACATTCAGGCCAACATGAGAGACTACAACATATCAATCAGCCCATCAGAGAGAGCACACCAGGGCATTCGCCCAAGACGGACAAGCACACCACACCAGAGCAGCCACAGCACCACACAATCAGCACCATACCATACATTTCAGCGTATCACACCAGACATTCCCTCAACAAACGCAGCCCACCATACAATACACCCAGCAGCACGTCGCCGCATTATGGAAACCGAGACACGGGCATGACGTACTGTGCACGGTCAAAAGCAGTGTACGCGCAGTCAACCGCGTGCACACGGCTCGCCTCGTACGACCTCGGAGTACTATCCAGGAACCCCTCTCCCTCAGCGCCATCCGCGATGATTGGGTGGTTAAGCGTAGCAATAAGCCGTTGGAAATCCGCCGCACGTTGGGCATGGTCCTCGCGGTAGGTCTGCCCGAGCACGCCGTGAATATCGTCCGTGTGCTCCAACTCCGCGATCCCGACATTCAGATGCACCTCCGCGTCTGACGGCGTCTGCAGCTTGGGGTGTGCGACGCGGAGCCTCAAATCGAGCGCCACGAGACCGTCGATGGTTAGAAGGTAGTAATCCATGGCGATCGGCCCCTACATTTCGTGCGCGTGAAATTCGATCGCGAGTCTACCAGTGCTGGTAACCACGTCGCCGAGCTACATGCGGGGGATCATCTTGCCGTCGATCTCAATGGCCTTCATAAACCCGTCGCAGCGCTCCTGCCGCTTTCCGCCACGCGCCGCAAGGCGAAGTTTGTGGTCAACGCCGTCGGCAGTCCAGATAATCCCGAGCTCCCTGCACGACGGAAGAACGAGAAAGTTCAGTAGAAACAAACGCGTTAGCATAATTCTCGAAAGAGCAGACATATTTTGAGAAAGCCGTCGCACTCTGTGTCAAAACGCTAGGCAGGAATGAATGACTAGAGGATGAGTTTGGTACAAAAAGGCAACCCTAAACTGGTGTACCCCTTATTGTCAACCCCACTACAGCCTAGACAATAACCTAAGCCATATATATGTTTGACACACCCCCATAGGCAAAGTGGGGAAGAACAAGGTGTGAGAAAATGAGGAATGATTGCATTGAGCAGCATGAGGAGTACAAGTAGGAAATCCTAAAGTGTTGTACCCCATATGAGCTACCCTACTACAGCCTACACAGACTATAGCATATAAGTTTGACACACCCCCATAGGCAAAGTGGGGGAGAACAAGAGGTCACAAGACCAGTCAAGAGAAGCAAGGCAAACTCAGGGTGGATCACAACATCACCACACAATCTGAGCACAATCACAAGGCCACAAGGCCAGTTCACATGCAGAGTTATATATCAAGATGAACAAACAAGACAATGATCTCAACCTAGCAAGGGTAAGCATGCAAGTGCAGGTATATATAATTCATAGTACAAGCAAAGTCAAGAAGTGAGCAAGTGAGGCCAAGTAGGCACAAGACCTAGCATCGTACAAAAGCGCTGATGATCACAAGACGGAAGTGCCTTGGTAAAGATATCAGCAGTGTTGGCCTCAGAGGCCGCGTAAGCAAGGCGCAGCTGACCACGCTGCTGCAGCTCACGAGCAAGGAAGTAGCGAAGAGCAATGTGCTTCGTTCTGTGCTCCAGTCTGTGCTCCCGACACAAGGACATCATGGCCTTGTTGTCTACTTATTGAACTGGAGGAGAACGAGGCGCTCTCCTAGGTCACTCAGCAGGTAGGTGAGCCAGCGTAGCTCTCATGCCGCCATGGCCCCCGCGTAGATCTCAGCCTCACAGCTGGAGCCGAGAACAGAAAACAAGCGGGTAGACCGCCACGAGACAGAGCCCGAGCCAAGGCTGAAGGTGTAACCCTGTGACGACCGCTGCGTAGCCTGGTCGTCAGCCCAAGAAGCGTCTGCGTGACCTGTGAGGACCACTGGACGTCGCCCTCGAAGCACTAGCCCCATGCCCGACGTACTGCACAAGTAGCGCAACACCCTCTTCGCTGTAGCCATGTGCTCTGGTCGGTGTCTCCTAGGAGCAACATAGCGTGCCAAGATGGTAAGAGGGTATGCAAGGTCAGGTCGTGTGCAGGTCATCAGGTACATGAGGCAGCCAACAAGCTCTGGGTACGGGCCACTCGGCTCAACGGACTCATCCGAACGCAGAGCTGAGAGCGAGTGGCGAATAGACAGAGGAGTGGCCTGAGGCGAGGAGTACGTGAAGTCGAAGCGCTGAAGGACCTGTTGCACCATGTGTGACTGAGTCAGGGTAATGGTGCGCTGTGCTCTGTCCCGGGTGATCTGCAAGCCAAGGTAGCTGCGTAGTTCACCCAGGTCTGTGCACGTGTGTCTCTTCTGTAGCTCGGACTTCACGTGGGCGAGTCCAGCAGTGTCAGTTGTGGCAAAGACCAAGTCGTCGATGTACACGAGGATGTAGAAAGGCGGCAAGGAGGTGTCGGTGTGCAGAAACAACGACGGGTCGGCAGTAGACGGAGCAAACCCAAAAGCCGCAAGTGTAGTCCTCAGTGTGTCGTGCCACTCACGGGGCGCCTGGCGGAGACCGTAGACGGGCCGCCGGAGGCTCCACTAGGTCCTAGGAGGAAACGACCCAGTGAAGTCAGGTGGGCGGCGCAACCAGATCTCCTCGCGAAGGCTGCCCTACAAGAAAGCTGTGTTGAAGTCAAGAGAGTGAAGCTCGTAGTCATGCCGAGCGGCTATGTGCAGCAGCACCCGAAGAGTGGTCATCTTCGGGGTGGGGGAGAAGGTCTGAAAGTAGTCAACTCCCTGCCGCTGACTGAAGCTTCGAGCCACGTAACGCGCCTTGAAGACAGGCGGAGAACCCGGCGGCCGCTTCACCCTGAAAATCCACATGCCACTGACGATGTTCGCCCCAGATGGGGGTACCTCGTCGACGTAGGTGCCTGTGGACTTCGAGGAAGCCATCTCTGCGTCCATGGCTGAATGCCACTGTGAGGAGTAGGGACCCTCGATCGCCTCAGCGTACGATCGAGGAGTCGGGATGTCTGGTGCATCCGCGTCTCCCTCAGCGGCAATCAGCGTGGACACGAGATGAGGCAAAGCAGCAGCAAACACTGGAACTCCTCCTGCTTGTCCTCAACGACGTCCGTGCTAAGAACACACTCACCCCCGACGGACGGAGGACAGACATACTCAGACTCAGCAACAAGAATAGCAGCGTAGTCTAGACGATAGTGAGCAGCAAAGTCGACAAGCTTAGCAACTAAGGCAGACGTAGTAGTGGACTCAAAGGAAGGGTCAGTGACAACAGTAGCCAGGAGACGCGTGACAGTAGGACTGGCAGCACGAAGAGAGTCAGACTCCGGGTCAGTAAGAGTAGGAAGAGAGGACTCTGGAGGAGACGGCAACGGGATACGCAGAGGAGCAGTGGAAGGACGCAGTGCCATCTGGTTTGTGCCTGGGACCGCAGGAGCACGTGGACGCGGAGCACGACCACTAGTGTGAGCAGCATGAACAGGCAACGCAGGACGAGACGCAGGCTCACGACGCTCAGCAAGACCTCCAATAGGACCAGTGTAGGGAGAAGGAGCAGGCAGGGGG